TGCCCAAGAATATTGACTCCATGGGGGACAGGCTTCCAGACCTTGGGGTGAGAGTGGAGGGGAATGCTGGGAGTTCAGAGTTGCAGGTAGAGAATATATACAGTTTTATACAGTTTTATGTCTGGCAAGAGAGTGCCATGGGACCCTAGTATGGGTAGGGGGTCCAGTTTTTAGAGGGTATCTCCCATGGTATAGAATGGGAGGATGTTCGTACTCCACTCCCTTGTTTGTATAGAGTTTCCTGTGAGCCCTTCTCATGGAGGAGGGTACTCCCGTCTGCTTGGCAATGGATTTAGTACTTTTTGTTTGTATCTTTGGGGTCGCTGCTTGCCTCAGCAGGGTTGATGTGCTTTCTTCAGCCTTCTCTCTTGGCTCAGCTCCAAACTATCAGCTTACTTGCTAAACTTCTGTCTTTTAACTCTCCTTCTGGACTGGAGCCTCTGTGGAAAGCTGGCTGTAGTCCACCATCTTGCCTCCTCCCCAAAATATTAGTGTTTTGATGTCCAATGTCATACAGAACATTCCAGAAGAGAATTCTTTTTTAACATAGCAGCCATTGATGTAAAGGTAGATGGATATGGGGGAGCTACAAATAGGTGGATAGGAGAAATAGGAGAAAGGAAAAAAATTTTTCCTTTTCCAAATATATCATATGTTACTACAATATTACATTTACTGAATTTCCTCAACAACCTTAAGAGGTTAATATAATGAAACATATCAGAAAAATGAGAAAATTGAAGGTCAGAGGAATTAAGGGGTACCTACAAGTCCACTAATTAACCTATTAGTAGCTAAGTAAGGATGTGAAATCCAGAATTCTATGTCCCCAGAGCCCTTGTTCTTTCTACTCCATCTTACTGTCTCATAAGTAGGATAGGAAGACAATGAGTTGAGGTAATCTAGAATGTTAAATTCTACAATCCATGGCTTTGGCCTTTCCAGAGATTTGCTGTTCAAAGTGGTTGTATTAGTCATGTGGTGACTTAAATTTAAATTAATTAAATTTCATTTAATTTAAATACAATTTAAAATTCCATTTTCCTATATTGCCAGACACACTTTAAGGTCTGAACAGGCACAAATGGCTAACTAGCACATACTATTAATTCTATCAATTACAAAGTACAGATATAGAACATTATCATTGTTTCAGTAAGTTCCACTGGGCAGTGCTGCTTTAGAGAATTAAGAGCTTTGGTTTTGTTTGTTTGTTTTGTTATTTTGATTTTGACACAGAATCTTGCTCAGTTGCACCAGTTAGAATGCAGTAGCATCATCACCACTCACTGCAACCTCAAACTCCTAGACTCAAACAATCCTGCTTCAGCCTCCAAGTACCTGGTACTACAGGCACATACCACCATACTCAGCTAATTTTTTTTCTAAGAAATAAAAATTTTGAAGTGCTAGAGCTGTATTGGTGCTAAAGTGGGCCTTGGGCTTGGGGACAGAAAATAGGGTCTGAACTACCTCTGGAAAGAAGACAAAAATAATTAAAGCAGAGTTTTCCTGGGGAAAGAAGAAATCTATTGGCTCGGCACCTGTAGCTTAGTGGCTAAGGTGCCAGCCACATACATGAGAGCTGGCAGGTTTGAAACCAGCCCATGCCTGCCAAACAACAAGGAGAAGTAAAACCAAAAAATAGCCAGGCATTGTGGCAGGCAGCTGTAGTGCCAGCTACTTGGGAGTCTGAGATAAGAGAATCACTTAAGCCCCAGAGTTTGAAGTTGCTGTGAGCTATGACATCACAGGACTCTACCCAGGGTGACTATCTCAAAGAAACAAAAAAAAAAAAAAAAAAAAAAGAAAGAAAGAAAAAAAGAATAAATCTTTGAGAGAGAGAGAGATTGTGTATGTTTAATCCTTTTTTAAATTATTATTTCAGGTTAATTTGAGGGTACAAAGAATTAGATTACAATGTTTACATTTGTTAGTTTCTCTTATTATTGTGTCCCTCCCCAAGAAGTGTGCCATACATCCTAATATTGTGACCATTAAGTGGGAGCAGACCCACCACATTCCCCCTCCCTTTTCCCTGCTCCCTCTTTCCCTCACCCCCCACCATGAATTGATTTGAGATTTTCTTTTACGTGGGTATGTATGATATCACCTATTAACTACATATTAGTATTGAGTACATTGGATTTTTGCTTATCCATTCTTATGATACTTTACTAAGAAGAATGTGATTCAACTCCATCCAAGTTAATACAAAAGATATAAAATCTCCTTCTTTTTTAATGGCTGAAGAATAGTCCAAGGTTCACATATACCATAGCTTGTTAATTCATTCCTGGGTCAGTGAGCATGTAGGTTGTTTCCAGATTTTGGTGATTATAAATTGAGCTTCAATAAACAATCCAGTGCAAATTTCCTTATGACAAAAGGAATTTTTTTCCCTTCTGAGTAGAGCCTAGAAGTGGGATTACAGGTTCAAATGGGAGGTCTAATTTGAGTTCCTTGAGAATTCTCCATACTTCCTTCCAAAGAGATTGTATTAGTTTGTAGTCCCACCAACAGTATAAAAGTGTTCCTTTCTGTCCACATCCATGCCAGCATCTGCAGCTTTGAGACTTTGTGATGTGGGCTATTCTTAGTGTGGTTTGGTAATATCTCAGGGTGGTTTTGATTTGCATTTCTCTAATGTTCAGGGACAAAGAACAGTTTTTCAAATGTTTGTTAGCCATTCATCTGTCTTCCTCAGGGAACGTTCTGTTCTTATCTATTACCCAGTGACAGATGGATTTGTTTGCTCTTTGTTGATTAATTTGATTTCTCTACAGATCCTAGTTATCAAGCCTTTGTCAGATTCGGAACATGTGAACATCTTTTCCCATTCTGAAGGTTGTCTTTTTGCCTTACTTGTTGTGCCATTAGCCATGCAGAAGCTTTTCAGCTTAATTACGTCTCATTTATTTTTATTGTTGTTGTGATTGTCGCTGAAGTCTTCATCATAAAATCTTTCCCCAGTACAACATCATCGAGAGATTTTCCTATACTTTGTTCTAAGATTTTTATGGTTTCATATCTTCGATTTAAAATTTTTATCCATCTTGGGTCAATTTTTATAGGTCTATTTTATAAGTTGTAGGTCCAGTTGCAGTCTTTTACATGGTTATCTTGTTTTATTGGTTATCTGGTTCTCCCAGCACCATTTATTGAATAGGGATTCTTTTCACTATTGTATGCTTTTGTTTGGTTTATCAAAGATCAGATGGCAACTATAGACTGGTTTCATTTCTTGGTTTTCTATTTTGTTTCATATGTCTATGTCTCTTTATGTGCCACTATCATGCTATTTTGATCATTGTGGACTTTTAATATAACCTGAAGTCTGGTAACATGATGCCTCCAGATTTGTTTTTATTTCTTAAAATTGTGTTGGCTATTCAGAATTTTGTCTGGTTTGATATGAAATAAAGAACTATTTTTTCAAGTTCTTCAAAGTATTTAATGGGAATTGCATTGATCTGTAGCTTGCTTTGGGATGTATGGACATTTTAATAACATGACTTTTCCCAACCATGATCATAGTATGTTCTTTTATTTGTTAACATATTCTGCTATTATTTTTCTCAGTGTTTCATAGTTCTCTCTATAGAGATCATTCACATCTTTCATTAGGTATTTTTCCAGGTATTTTGTTTTTTTCTGAAGTTACTGTGAAGGGTATTGTACATTTGATTTAATGCTCAGCTTGACTTTTATTGGCATATATGAAGACTACTGATTGTAGACACTAATTTGATATTCCAAGATGTTACTATGCTTTCTGAGCACTTCCAGGAGACTTGTGGTTGAGGCACTAAGGTTTTCTAAGTATAAGATCATATCATTAGCAAAGAATGAGTGTTTCACCTCCTCTGCCCCCATTCAAATGCCCTTTATATCCTTCTTTTGCCTGTTATCATTGGCTAGAACTTCTAAAACTATCCTGTATAGTAATGGTGATAGTGGACATCCTTACCTGATTCCAGTTCTAAAAGGAAAAACTTTCAGTTTTACATTATTCAATATGATATTAGCTGTGTGTTTGTCATAGATTGCTTCAGTGTAAGAAATGTGCCACTTATGCCTATTTTCTTAAGAGTTCTTATTAGAAAATGATGCTGAATTTTGAAAAATGCTTTTTCTGCAGCTATTGAGAGGATCTTTGTTTTTGCTTCTATTGATATGGTGAATTACATTTATGGATTTGCAATTGTTTAACATTTAATCCTTTTTTAAAACAGCCTTTTCTTCATTTCCCATTGGTTTTCCCTTATTGTTTAGAAAAAGTGCCCTTTAAAAATATCAACTTATCTCTACTTGGCTCAAGAGAATGTGAGGAAATGGCCTCTCATCCTCACTTACTACAAAGAGACGGAAGGAATGAGATTAGGCAATTGTACTATAGGAGCTGAGGCTTGTATGTCCAGTCTTCACCTCCTATAGATTTCTTTCCTTAAACTCTTTTCTGCTCAAATTTGCAAGCAGTGTTCTCCAAGTGAAAGAGTAGGACCAGTAATTCTCAGGGATGCTTGATAAACTTATAAATACTCATGCCTTACCCCAAACTGGTAATATATAACATGGGGTGAGGTTGAAGTGGCTGAGACCTGCATGCTTAAAAAAGGTTCCCCAAGAATCCAGTTGCACATTCACATCTGTGAATCATGGAAGGAGATGTGTTTTGTTTTAATAAGTGAATTTAGGCTTTTACAAGGGGGTGGCTGCAACTGAATCAAAAGAGGATTAAGATAAAGATTTATGGGAGGGAGGGAAGGAGACAATAAATATGAATTAATATAAAAGCTAGACATAGAAAATGAGAAAAATATGAGTTTGAGAAGCCCTAAGGGAGCAATGAGCGGTTTCACCCCACTGAATAGAATCTGGAAGGCCAGTTCAGCAACCTTTTGGGGACTATCATAGGCATGACCAGGAGGGTTATAAATTCTTCATGATAGTACACTTTACTCAAACTTATGTGCCCCCATATACAAAAACATGGCTACCTCACAAATGTCCTTGAGGTGCTTGATGTAGTGACGTTCAGTGCTCATGATCTCATTGATGACATTGGCCCGCATCTGGTCTCGGTTCTGTAGTGGCCGGCCAAGACAGAGGCAGTCTGAGTTGGGGTCCAGGTGCCCATTCTGCACATCACTGGGCCCCTCTTCCACCCCATCCTCCTGGTTCACCCAAAGCTGTGGAAGCAGGAAGAATAAGAATGGGTTAGTCTTCTTTTCTGAGAAGTTTCTAAACAAGCAGAAAAATGATAAATTACATTTCTCAGGTATTCAGAAAGCCTTAAACCAGAGCTCCCTAGAAACAAAATGCCAGACCCTGGGCACGGGTCTAATCCCCCCTAGGTCTCTGGTAACCTATCTTTAAAACTTGAGATGAGGGTAGGAAGAATAAATCATCACTGAGAGCCTTCTTGGCTAATAAGGTCTCAGAAGAGGGAGGTGTGCTGGCAAGCGGAACTCACTCATAGTGGAGCACATCTAGGCAGCAAAGCTAAATAAAAAATGAATAAATAAAAACCTAAGCCATGGGCAGTGCCTGTAGCTCAGTAAGTAATGTGAGAGCATCATGCACCAAGGCTGATGGGCTTCAGCACAGCCTGGACCTGCTAAACAACGACAACTACAACCAAAAAATAGCCAGGTGTTGTAGTGGGCACCTATAGCCCCAGTACCTGGGAGGCTGAGGCAAGAGAATTGCTTAAGCCCAGGAGTTTGAGGTTGCTGTGAGCTGTAATAGCCTAGCACTGTACTGAGGGAGATATAATGACACTCTGCCCCCCCCAAAAAAAAAAAGAAAAGAAAGAAAGAAAAAAAAGAAAAGAAAAAAAAAACTTAAGCCATATAGTTTTTATGCTAATGATGGACTACTGTCAAAATAGCATTGAAGTACTTGCAAGTGTGGAGACCAAATTTGGACACTGTAGTAGATATCTCAAAAATAGTTTTATTCCCATCAAAAAATATACAAATAATCATTAAAATTGGACTGTAAAGTTCCTTGAACAAGCAAAGATCTCTGCATCCTCAATGTTGGAGTGGGGATGAAAGACTATGTCCCTACTACATCATAATAACAACTATTGATTGAGAACTTACTATATACACCAGCCAGTGTTCTAAGAGCTTTCAATTGTATTCATTTCTGCTAGGCAGATATCATTATTACAGTTTCATGGAACAGGTGACTGAGGCTTTGAGAATTTAAAGAATTTGTCCTGAGTCATACCGTTAGGAAGCAGAGATGCTGGAATAAGGGCCAGGCAGTCTGATTTTAGAGCCTATCTATGTTTTTAATTACTATGCCTGCACTATTGTGCTTTTGGCTCTAAGGAAGACAAAAAAAGAAAAGGGAAAAGGCTTGAGTCCAAGGCAGGCTAAGAATAATTAAAATCATCAGAAATGCATAGTCATAGTTGGTAAAGGTTGAAACTGGCTATTCCAAATCATAAAGACAGAGGGAAGCAGAAAAACATCCTTATTTTGGGAGGCTGAATAATATGCTCCTGGATCTTGGATGACTTAGCTTGAATCAAAAATAGACAGTTCATTTTACCCTAGTAATAAGAAGGGATAAAACAATGTAGGCAAAAGTAAACGAAGGGTGGTCCCAGAGGTAGAGGCTGTCAAGGCTAATTAGCCAAGGAGCTTGCCAGTTGTCTCAATAGCTTTAATAAACTCTATATTTTCCCTTCTTAACCCCCATCTTTTTCTACATTTCTGTTTCAAAAAGCTGAAATCATGCACTTTAGATGTATCACTATTTCTGCCATAAGAAGAGCCTGTTGATGAGTGAGTGGTCTTATGGGGAAAGAGGCTTTGGGATGGAACTACAGAGATTGTAGTTACTTCCCAACTGTTGTATTCTTCCTTCTCCCTTTGTCTCATGGAGGGGAGCTCTTTGCTTACCACCCAGTGATCTAATAAAGGAGGGCTTACTCCATTTGAATACATTTCATATATACAGACAAATGTTCAAAATTATTCTCCTCAAAGAACCTATCACTCTCTGCAAATGTTCTATTAAAATCTCTTTTCAGCTTCCAAAAGGTCACTTTGTGTCTTCATCTATATGTTGATAGCTTCCCTTTAATAGAATCAATAGACAATATGAGGGATGCTTATTCAAAGAATAGACCTGGTCAAATGGAGGAAGCACCTGTGGCTCAGAGGAGTAGGGCGCTGTCCCCATATGCTGGAGGTGGTGGGTTCAAACCCAGTGCCGGCCAGAAACTAAAAAAAAAAAAAAAAAAAAATCTTGCGACCTGGTCAAATAAGTGACCTTGATGTAAGGCCTCGAAGGATATATCTCATACTACATGATGCTGTCTATTGTAACAATGAAAACTGAACCCTCTAATATTCCATTAACTTTTATCCGCTTCTCAAAAACCAAGCTAAGCTCTGCTATGAAAAGGGTAACATAGGCAAGCCTTTAAGAGATAAGAACCATTTCTTCTCTTCTTAAGAGTTTAAGACTAGTAAAATTGAAATATTGGTTTGGAGATGGCTAGAATAACATGAACACTTGGGAAAGTTCCAATGGGAAGGAACACAGGATGTGATGTGAAAGAAAATGGGAATAGAAGAAAAGGCAAGAATAGAACCAAACTCAGGTTCAAGCTATACTCCATGGTATTATAGTTCGAAATGGCAATGAAAGTGGAGGAAGACAACTGCAGCCAAGTGGAAGCAGATCCCCTCACATAAAATTTGGTGTAGAAATTTGTTCTAGCTAGAAATAAATGTCTGGGTGGCTAAGCCCTTCATAAGGTGCTTCTGAGAAGACAACATCTTCATCTACTCTACTGGAACAAACCCAGAGGCCCATTTCCTAAGCTAAGATACTGCTTTTATCCAAGAAAACTACTAACATATTCATTCATTAAATCTATGTCAAGTGCCTATAATACACCAGACATTGGGAATACAACAATGAACAAAATGGACAGAAATCATTGCCCTTTGTGGGGCTGACATTGAAGAGAAGATAGTTATTACATTTGTAGCCTAGAAAAAGGTACTATGTAAGGCCCAATTACTGTGTTCCTTATGCCAGGACCCCACAAAATCTCCCCCTGGCCTGATATAAGACTTTCTAGTCTAACCTCTAAGTTCCCTGCTCTTGAGAGCTGTGCTGATCTGTACCAATGAAAGCCCTTGTCAACTTATATATCACAGTGTACTGACACAAGTCAGCCCATGAGCTTATCTTCCCAGGGTGTAACGTCAGTCCACAGTGTCATATTAACCCTGCCTAACAATCTGTGAAGGCTATTGCGTACCTTTGCACAAGTGCTCTTCATCGATACTAAGATTATCCTATAAATTTCTGGGTAACAAGTAAGAAGATGGATAAGATGGATAATGCCTAAAACCTGCCAGGTTGAAAGGCTTTCTTGGGAGCCTTCTTAAGATTATTTGAAGGCTAGTTTCCTCAGCCTTCATTGAATGCTGAAGCAAGGCTGGTTAGTGCAGTTCAATTTAATAAATATCTATTCCGTACCTAACAACTAACCATGCAAGAATGTGAGATATACCAGTAAGGAAGATAACCATCTTCTCCCTCCCCTTCTAAACCAAAAGTACATTCCAAATAAGACACAATAACTGGTACTTACACATTATCTCTCCATTTTCTATTCCAGCTATCACTGCCCTTATCCTTTTATACCTGGACAAGTAATCCCCCAGCTCCAATCCCTCCCACATACCACTATCAGACCAATTTCTTTATCACTTTGGTTGACTACTCTTATAAACCTCAAATCTTTCTTAGCTCCCCATTGATTACAAAGTACACCCAATCCAACACCCTGCTATTCAGACATTACCGTAATCTGACTTCAGTGTGTATTCATACCCTTACTTCCATAAAAACTGAGCTCCTCCCAGACAGGTCTGCTTTCCATCCACAAATATTTCCATCTATGTCCTTTAATCCCAGAATCAAACATAGAAATAATATATTCCAGAGGCCTTCAACAACTTGAACAAAAATGATCCAACCTCTAAACTTCCTCATGAAGAAATTGATACTGGCTTGGCACCTGTAGCACAGTGGTTATGGCTCCAGCCTCATGGGTTCAAACCTGGCCTGGGCCAGCTAAAACACAATGACAACTGCAACAAAAAACAGCCAGGCATTATGGTGGGTGCCTGTAGTACCAGCTACTTGGGAGGCTGAGGGAAAAGAATCGTTTAAGCCCAAGTGTTTGAAGTTGCTGTGAGCTGTGCTGCGATGGCACTCTACCAAGGGTGACATAGTGAGACTATGTCTCAAAAAGAAAAAGAAAAAAAGAAAGAAAGAAAGAAAGAAAAGAAAAAAAGAAAAGAAATTGATGCCCACAGAAACTTCCAGAGAATTAGAAACTGCCGTGTTTTTGATATGCCTTTGATATGCCTTTCTCTTTCTGTTCTGCAAATTATGTAGTTGATACACATTTGCCTTGTTAAAGTTAAAATAGAAAAAAGAAGACTAAGATTATTCAAATGAGGGATAAAAAAGGAAATATTACTACCAATCTTACAGAAATATAAAGGATTAAAAGAGAATACTATGAACAATCCTATGCCAAAAAATTAGATAACCTGATAAAATGGACAAATTTCTAGAAAGTCACAATCTACAAAAACTGACTCTAGAAGAAATAAAGAACTGGAGTAGACATATAAGAAGTAAAGAGATTTAGTGAACAATCAACATCTTCCCACATGGGACAAACAACTCAGGACCAGATGACTTCACTGGTGAATTCTACCAAACATTAAAGAAAATTAGCATCAATCTTTCACAACACTTCCAACCATATAAATGCATAAGTCCTCAACAAAATACTAGCAAACCAAATCAAGCAACATATAAAAAAAAATTATTGACCTTACCAGATGTAATTGATCCCAAGAATTCAAGTTTGGTTCTATATATGAAAATCAATCAATATAATTTACAACATACTAATGAAATAAAAGTTACAAAACCCCACACGGTCACCTCAATAGATATATAAACAGCATTTGAAAAAAAAAAAAGAAACCAACACCTTTTCATGATAAAATCTCAAAAAATGGGGGACAGAAGTAAGATGGTCAGATAATGGACAGAATGGACACAAAGTAGCTTAAGGTGGGGAACTGAGCTAAGAAAGAAAATAGATAAGGGCACATCATTTCTGCTGAGG